ATGTTGTTATGTGTGTTCGTTTACCAGGATGTGTGCTTAAACATATGGAAAATGTGCTGAAACATGGAAAATATTAATAGATAGAGACCATACAAAACCAGAGAACGCTCTCTGCTGAAAACTGGTTTAATCAATGACCAAGTGTTCAGACTGAAAACAAGGAAGCCCATTTGTTTTTAACAAAGGCTCCGAGGCATGGCTCCACCTATTGATTACATCATAAATGGAGGGTGTGTGTGTGGGGGGGTTGTCCTTACTAGAAGCCATGCCCCCAGATATAAAAACCTACCCTAATGAGGATTTAAAAGTTCAGTTATGTGTTGAATTTGTTTTCAGGCATGTAGCTATTAATATAAAATCATCAAGTTAAGCAAAACAGTCCTTTTAACAATYATTACAGTTCTATCATAAAACTATACATGAGTATGTAATTTAAATCAGTTATATAAACCTAAACCCCAATAATTTCTTCAGATTCATTCCAGGAAATGGTATCGATTCATAAAAMCTATTCAGATTTCTGCAGGATTAAGCAAGTAGGTAATACTTCCCTAAAACAGACTTTATACAGTCCAGCTAAAGTTATTATCTGCTTTGAAATAAGTTCAACTACTCCTCATAATGACTCAAAAAAAAAACTATAATGTTCATATTCTGAAAATCCATAAAAACCAGCATGATACCTCTGGCCTGAGTACTGCCCTCTGCACTGGCAGTAGAAGTCATCAGCTCGAGGAACACAGGTGCCGCCGTAAAGGCAGGGGTTAGATGCACAAGGACTTATGGCGATCTCACAGTGTGTGCCCATGAATGAAGCAGGACATTTGCAGAAGTAGCCTAAGAAATTCACAAAGACGAAGGTTAAYGAGGAAGTGGCCCTGAGCAGGATGCGGTGAAGGCATTAACCCAAGCAGGGGGGCAGATTACCTCCATTAGGCAGCGAGGTGCAGCTCCCTCCGTTGGTGCAGGGGTTGCTGGAACAGCTCTCGGCCGGTGAGAGGGCACAGCCTGGAGCCACGTCCACGATGTCCTCCAGCACGGCATGGGCCCGGCTAGCTCTGGTGTTGAGAGGAAGCTCCTGGCCGTTCAGCGCCACGGCCTCCATGCAGCCGCGGAGCCCGTTAGTGACGGGCAGACTGCGTCCGAGGCGTGGGGAGCTGTGCTGGCGAACGTAGCCGCCGAAGTAAATGGTGTTGTCGAGGTTGAGTGTGCGCAGAGTGCCCGGAGCCGTGCCGGAAGCGGCGTGCACCCGGTCCAGCACCAGTTTGGCGTAGTTACCATCCACTTGTAGGGAAACAGAGTGCCACTCCCCATCATTAACTTGTGCGCTGTGGACCGACACCAGGCCAGGCCCGCTGCCACAGTCAAACTTGTACTGCAATCGACCGTTCACAATCTATTTCAGAGACAATAAACGCTGAATTAGAACAAACTAAACATGTGGCATATATTGAATTAGATCATTCATTTAATAACATTTGCTATTTGTTTCATAATCAGATTAAATTAGGATTATTCCTTTTGACTAATCAAATTACTGTCATAGATAAGGCTCTGACACAGGGTACAGTCATTAGTGGTAAGCCATGAACAAGCATTCCTAATTTTATAGCAAAATACCAGTTTTGCTGGAAAACAAAACCAGCTTTATGCACCTAAATATTTAATATTTTGTTGAAGGATCTACAGTATGTACACCGTGGATATGAAAAACCTTATAAGGTAGTTTAATAATGCCCCCCCCTCCCGATTCAGTCAGGGGGTTTTGTCTGGCATGCAGACTGCTTTGCCTGACAGACTCAAAATGGAATGTGTGGAAAACTGCTGTCTCTTTCCCTCTCACCACTAAAATAGCTTGTGTGTTGTTGTTGTTTTAACTCACAACTACATTCCCAGAATCTCTCATGTGAAAGGAGTTTTAAAATGCCTTTCTGAACCCTTCAGCTTAGTTGGTTCAAACAAAAGGCTCAGTGGCCTCGAAGCAGGGGTAAGTTAGGTCAGCTGCATGCCTACTGAGCTCCTCTGATACGGAGATGTTGGACGGGATTAAGAAATTCAGCCCTATGGTCTGTTTAGGCTTGTGGACACTGTCAGGGTTGTCCATTTCATTTCAATGAGGCTGAAAGAACACATTTTGTCAGAGAGCTGAGTTGAAAAACTGAACATGTAACACACCTCCAAGATGCTGTAGTCTGTTCCTTTTGCATACATGACTGTAGCGTGGCTGGAGAAGGTCCTGAGCCTCAGAGAGAGCTTCATCAGCTCCTTGTTCTCATTCTCCATCAGACGGTACTTCACAAAACCACTTCCACTGAATGTCAGCGAGTGGCCATCTGGTATAAGGGAAAGCGATATCATTATAGAAAGGTGTGTGTGTGAAAATACAGTATTAAAGCTAAAATAATAGTTTCTTACCAGAGCATTTGCCTCTTTTGCCCTCGGGACACACACAGCTGTACACAGTGTCTGTGGGATCAGCCACACAGTCCATGCCTTCTGGACAGGGGTTGTTTTCACACAGGTTGTTCAACACGGGACATTTGCCACCTGATTGTAGAAAAACTTCAACTGAGAATGGGAACTTTAACAAAACATAATTATATAAAGGTGCGTGTTGTTTCTGCGTGTGTATTTGAGGCCTGACAGGCGTACCGTCACACTGGCAGGTGGCAGTCCTCTGGTGTCGCGGGGTGACAAAGCTGAGGCGAGCTGTGCTGTAAGTGGACATGACGTTTTTATCCAGGGAGACGACCTCATCACAGAAGTGCAGCGGGCAGTCCAGACCCGCACACAGCTTCTGGACCACTCGCACGATGCGCACCCCCGTCATCTCCTCGATCACACCAGCAGAGGAGTTCAGCTTGCGGAAAACGACCTAAAAACAAATAGAGCAGCAAATAACTCGAGGAATGATCTGCGAGGTGTTTTCTATCAGCTCGGTAGTTGATGTTTCAAACATTTCATAGAGTTTTAAATAAAATCACTGAACTCAAACAAGTGCAAGCCCAAACATATGAACAGGTATGTGCCTGGTCTTACCTCTTGAGATTGATAAGGGCTGCCAGATCTCTCCAGAGTCAGCAAGACATCCAGATCCCCCTGCTCTGACGGCTGCAGGCTCACTAACTGAACCTCGCTCCTCCTCACTCCCGCAATGTTTCTCAGCGCCCGCTGGAAGTTGCGCCAGTAATCCCCGATAAATTCTTCCGGCGCGATGTTTGAAAAGCTCACTGCGATGGAGTTGTCCAGGGCCTGGCGGGTGGCTTGCTTAACGTGCACGTTGACGTCCGCAGCCGTCGTGTAGCGCCCGTCGGTCACCGTCACATTGAGAGGGTAGTGGCCCACGTCGAGCGGCTTCAGGGCGATGACTTTACCGTCCGAGGCTGAAACCGAAAACAAGGCGCYGCTCTCGCCTGCGGCAGAGAACGCCGAGGAGGCGAGGCTGTAGGTGAGGGTGTCGTAGATGTCTTGGTCGGTGGCGTGGATCTTTCCTAAAACACCCCCGGGGTATTCGTCGCCGGCGACGGACACGAAAATGTCCAGAGGAAGCACTGCAGGAGGATAGATGCTCTCTTCGATCACACGCACGCCGATGAAGGCAGTGGAGAACAGCGGAGGTTTGCCACTGTCAGACACCTGGGTGAGAGGGAAGCAACAGTCAAGTTTATCTCTTTTACCAACAGCAGAGGGCAATCATATCCCTCCTCTACTCACACCCCTCAGCGAGTAGCACTGACACCACAGCAGCACCGGATTAAAAAAACAAAAACAAAACATTTACAGTGGCAACCGCTCTTTCACAGGAATGGGCTTCGGTTCAGCAGAAAAAAAAAAAACAACAACGATGACTCAAATCAGAGTGTGAATCTCTTGTGCAAAGCGACATCACACTTTTAAAGTCTCATCTGCCCACACATTTTCTTCCTCTGTTCCTTCTTCAGATGTGACACGTGATCGAGCCAAATCAAAGCCAGTGTGTGTTTTAATCTTCCTCTGTGAGATGYGCTGTGAAGCAGATGCTTCCCTGTGTGCCAACTTCAACTCATAGAAAGTTTCCTGTGAGGCTACAAAACTTTAGAGGAGGGAGACACTAAAAGAAACACTGACATTCTGGAGAAAGGAAAGAAAAAGAAGAAAAAAAAGGAGGACAAACAGCAGGCAGCTGTGGCTCGACAGTTAAATCAATGCAACCTCTCAACACTTGTCACCTCTCTGTTGTGTGACTCACCTGTGCTTGAAGTAGGTACTGTTCTTTATGCTTCCTATTCAGCACCCCCACAGTCAGAAGAGTTCCTTGCTGGTTGATGTGGAAGGCATCGCCCTCGTTCCCATCCACAATGGTAAAGGTGAAAGGCGGGCCGTTGTGAGAAGCGTCTCGGTCGCTTACAGTGAGCTGAAGAATACTCGTGCCCTTCGGTCGATTCTCCTGTGGGATGGAGGAGATGCTGAGGTGAGAAAAGTCAGGGCATTTTTGGACAGAACCTCCAGATTTTTACCTAGATCATCTAAAAATCTKTTCAAGTACACAGTATAGAGATATAAAACGTTATCTAAATACATGATCATAGATTTATTTAAAAAAATCTTTGTAAAACCTGTTTATATTTAGATTTCTCAGATATTACTGCCATCTGACTAAGCTCAATTTCAAACATCCTCTTGCTGACATACACATAAGATTAATGGAAAAGCTGAACAACCATTCTGTCTCTCACATTTCTGAGTTTTAAAGAAAATACTTTATCTTTTTGTGAGTGTAAAAGGTTCACATCTGACATTCTGTTGAATCTTTTAAGACCTGACTTCCTATTACTTTTATTCTCAAACGTAAAAAAAAAACAACTATTGATTCTCCAGTGGGTGCGTACAGTATGTGTAAGCTCGATGTTGTTCTTTCTTTCCCTTGATTTAGGGGGATTTTGTGCTGCACATTGATCAAACTTTAATGGTGAGTGCAATATAGCTAGTGAGGAGAACAATATTCAATCTTGATGCACTTTAACTGTTTGCAACATAAAATCTATATACTGTATACAGTATGTGCAAAAAATGATAAAAAATAATGAATAAACTGCCTTTATTGTTAGATCCCAGCTGAATGTGACCCCGAGGTTGTGCAATGGAAGCTGTTTGTTTGTTTGTTTTTATCTATCTATCTATCTATCTATCTATCTATCTATCTATGTATCTATGTATCTATCTATGTATCTATGTATCTATCTATGTATCTATGTATCTATGTATCTATGTATCTATC